CAGAAAAATGGGACCTACAAAAAAAAAAAAAGTTCCAGAAATCAGCAAGGGGTTTCTTCAATCTTGGACTGAATTAAAGCAGCACCTGGTAAGGTAAAATTTCTCGAGGATGGGCAAATGACAACTACAGACAGAAAGAGCACTATGCGGAGGCTGGAAGCTGAACAAGTCCCAGAGTTAACAGAGGCCTGGGAGACATTATATTCCAGCTAGTCAGTGTGAACGCACCTCCTGAATGTGGTCTTCAGTAGGGCCCAGGGGAATCACGCCTTAGTTGTAGGGCTATACTAGCTCTGAAGACTACGATATACACCTCTCTAACAAATCTTAGAAATAAGACTAGAAAGATCAAGCTGATCCACACATAACTTAACAGACTACCAAAACAATCTTCAATACTTTTTAAAGGAAGCTACTAAAATCCAGGCACTCAACAATATAACATTCAGTGTCTAGCATCAAAAAAAAAAAAAAATCACTAGACATGCAAAAAAGCAGGGAAAATGTATCCCATAACTAAAAGATAAATCAACCTATAACAAGAGATCAAGAAATTACAACAGAATTAATTAGCTTACAAGAGCTTTAAGAATTATTTAAAAATAAACTTGAGAATTAAAAAAATAAAAATAAAATGGTGACCATACTGAGGAGAGAAATAGAATACATAAAATAGGACCAAGTGGAAGTTTTAGAGCTAAAAAATAAAAAATCAGAAATGAAAAATTCACTTGGTGGGCTTAACAGCAGATTGGATCAATGAATTTGAAGACAGCAACAGGAACTACCTAAACTGAAGCAAAGACATAAAAAGGTGAAATACAGTATGGGGAATATAATCAATAATGTTATAAAGGTTATGTGAGGTGCCAGATGGGTACTGGACTTATCGGGGGGATCACTTCACAGATTGTGTAGACGCCTGACCACTGCGCTGTACACCTAAGCTGAAGTTCAATAATACTGAATGTCACCTATAATTAAATATATATTGTTTTGTCCAACTCAAACTAATACAAAAAAATTTTTTTAAATGACATAAAAAGCTGAGAAACAACAACAACAGAACAGCACAGGCTCAGTGACCTGTGCAACTAACTATGTAAAGTGATCTAACATATGTATACAGTCCCAGAATGAGAGGCAAGGGAAGGGAAACAAAAAATTTGTGAAGAAATGTGAAAACTCATTGAGCTGTACACAGAAAGGGTGAATTTTACTAGTTGTGATTATGCTTTAATTAACCTTATTTTTGAAAACGTATTTATTCACCGATGACATGATCACCTACACAGAGTCCTATGAAATCTATAAAAAAACCACCCTAGAACTAGTAAGTAAATTTAATAAGGTGGAAAAATGCAAGGTCAATATACAAAAATCGGTTGTATTTCTATGTATTAGCAAAAAACAATTGTAAATGAAAAGTAAAAGGATACCATTTACAAGATTAAAGACCATGAAATATACTGGGATACATAAACAAAGTATGCATGAAACCTGTACTCTGAAAACTACAAAACATTGTTGTGAGAAATTAAAGAATATCTAAATGAATATAGAGATGAGCTTAGTTCTTTGGTTAGAAGCCTTAATATTTTTTTATATCAATTCTTTCCAAACTCATCTACATATAGATCAACATAACAATCAAAATCTCAAGACTTGTTGTAGAAATTGATAAATTGATTCCAAAATGTATATGGAAATGCAAAGGTACTGAAATATATAAAATAATTTTGCACAAGAACTACCCAATTACAAGGCTTACTGTAAAGCTATCCTACCCAAAAAAGAAGTGTGGTATTATCTTAAGATAGAAATATAGATCAATGGAAGAGAACAGAGTCCAGAAAGAGACACACATATATGGTCAACTGATTTCAACTCAAAAATGCCAAGGTAACTTGAAGGGTAAAAAAATGCTACAGAAACAACTGGATATCCATACAAGGAAAAAAAATGACGCATGACACTGGTCACAAAACTTAACTCAAAATGGAACATAGACCTAAACATGAAAGGTGTAACTATAAAACTTCTAGAAGAAAACATGAGAAAACATTTGCATTGTTGGAACTGCCTAAAATTCCTTAGGCAGGAAACAAAAAGCACTAACCATAGAAGTAAAAATTAATAAGATGGTGTTCATCAAAATTAAAAGTTTGCTCTTCAAAAGACAATGTTAAGAAATTGAAAAGTCAGGACACAGACTAGAAGAAATTAATCAAACTATGTGGCTATGCTGGACAAACAGATGACTCACGTCCTGGGCTAGATGGTGTGAGATTTCATCACGCCACTCAGACCGATGCCTGATTTAAAACTTATGAATTGTTTATTTCTGGAATTTTTTGTTTAATACTTTTGGACCATAGTTGATCACCGGTAACTGAAACTACAGAAAGCAAAATTGTGGATAAGGGGGGACTACTGTATATCATTTGTTAAAAAACACTCACTGAGCTGTATTCCTAAAATGGATAAATATTATTGTATGTAATTTATATCTGATTAAAGTTGATTGAAGACATACATCAATCTATTATAGCATCTGGACCTCAACAGGATCCTGAGTTGAACAAGGACAACTTTTAAAAGGAGGGGAGGGGATTTTGAACATGCCAAATATTGGTTGATATTAAGTAATGACTATTAAGCTCAGTGATGGGCCCATGGATTCATTTTACTTCTTCTCTCTGATTTTGTATGTTTGACATTTTCTGTGATATAACACTTAAAGAAATTAAAGCATCAAACATTTAAAGGATTATTATGTAGAAAAGAAATTAGAAGATATGATATGGAGGAAAATTTGGAATCAATGTAAGAATTGAACTAGCTAAGACAGCAATGTGTAGTAGCCTCGTAAGGCAGGTTGCTCACACTAGGAATTGTTGATGCCCAGACTTCATAACTACTTGTCGAAGTTGTAAGAGAGGAAATTACTACAGTTAGCAAGTGCTGGGCAGGCTGCCCTCTAAGCTCGCTTTCAACTGTAAGCTTCCATTAACTGTTGATCTATGAATCTGACTTCTTGTACAGTTTTCCCAATCAAGTCAGCACCCCATTACTCCCCAGCACTATCAAATAATTATCTATACTATTTACTTCTTATTTCACAAAAACTATTTCACATACTTTCTATTTTCCCAATTTTAATATATATTTGATATGACCTGTTCTTAAGCCTTTCAGAAGTCAGAATTATGCTGTATACCTCATAGAATTTTTTATTCCTAGCACAATACTCTGTACGTATTGAGTCATCAAAATGCTTTCTTAACATTACCTTTCAAATCAATGATATTTCGTAACATTGCACTCCCTTCTCTTGCCATTCATGTTGTATTTTCGCCCATCGCCCCCCAAGCAGAGACTATATCCTGTAGCACATCTGTGTCCCCCAACCCAAGCTAGAACAGGGCTCTGTGCATATCTACGAATAAAATGAATAAAGAATTCCTCCTACATATGGAGGCTCTTAAGTTTCTGAAGTGATGATAATGCATTCTGATCATCAAATTCGGTTTCTGAGACTCCCTTAATCACTGAAAATGTCTTTATTCTAACCGCACAGGTCATACACACTGTCACCCATGTGGTTGCCCCTTCCATGAGCATGGAGAAAACTGAAAAATGGTTTGGTTTTCCTCCGTCTTTCCCATCCTGGTGGCCTTTCTCCTGAACTCCCCAAATATTCAATGTCTTTATCCTGCCCTCTGACCACCCGAATGAGAAGTAGGCAGGGGACGAACACCTGCAAAATGTCCGGCACTGCACTAGACACTTTACTTTATCAACTCATTTAATTCTTACAACGACTGGAGTAGGTATTATCTGCATTTTAAAGATGAAGAAGGTGAGGTTCAAAGTTTAGTAATGTGCTCAAGCTTGTAAATGGTGTTATCTGGGATTTGAAACCAGACCATCCTGGCTCAAAACCCATGTATTTTTACAGAATAAAAAATAATCCTCTTTCTTATACAAGTCTTGAAATAACAGAACCTAGAGAAAAATATTTTTGTTGAAGAGAATACTTTCTCTGTAGCTACAAGTGCAACTTACAATGAAAGCTTACTCATTCCATAATTTACCAAGAAAAACGTCCAATTTCAACAACCACCAGGGGGAGCTAAATCCTAAAAAGCGTAGATAAGCTTCCAGACAAAAAGTCTCCTTTGGACCATGACTCCTTTTAGAAAGATAAATCTGAATAAATATTCTGCCATAAGTGACTCTTTCTAGGAAACAAATCCGATGATACTTTTTTCCTGCTTAAAACCTTCCAAGGATCCCTGTCGCAAACTATCTCACACATTAACTGTGATATCCACGACTTCTTCACACTTGCCCGTCTCCTCCCACTCTCCATTTGAACCCCATAACACACTTCCCTGGCTTCCTCAGATAACCTTTCCTTTACGCCTCCACCTCTCGGAACACACCGTTTCTTCTGGCTGACTGCACGCGGCCATCTCCCGCCCCCCAGCCCTTCTCTTCAACAACAAACCACACATCAAACTCCCATTGGTCCTTCAGCTCTGCTCAAAACAAGTGTCAGCTCACTTCTGACCTTCTCGGACCATCCTTCTACCACAATGGGTCAATTTATCCGACATACTAGTATTATTCTACCATCAGGTAAATCTTTCTCTTCCTGCCCATATGACGTTTCAAGTGAATGTCTTCAGCGCCTTGCTAGACTAAAAGGTCCTGGAGGGGAAGAACCACGCTTTATAGGTATTCTGGCACAGCTCAGGCACGCAGCAAATCCACTTGAGGTGCTGAACTGAAGTGAGAACCCATCAGTTCGCACCTGTGGATTGTTCCAGAGGCTACCTCCAAAGGATCAGGAGTCATTTTCATAAAGACATCTTAAGTTCTTCACCTCATGCTCAAAACCATCTTAAAAACTGCAATCATCAACATTCTATCTGAATATATATATATATACATATATATATGTATATATATATATATATATATCTCAAACTTACCGTCTTAGTTAAATAAAACATGAATGAATATATCAAAAGAACTGCATTTTCCAGAGGTGTGACACTCGCTGGCTCTTCGGGATTTGTTTCCAGTTGCTTTTTTCCATCAACAGCATCAACAGGAGTGCTTTCGGTTGTAATTATCCCTAAAATCGAGAGGGAAGATTAGTATTTTATTTTATGCTTTAGAAAAAGAATTGTTTCTCTTCATGTAAAATATTTATTGACGTCCCACAAAATATTAGTCGCTGTGCCTGGACATGTGGTTCTCTTAAGGACAATTATATAGAGAAAAATAGTCAGAATCCCCGTTAGAGCCATCATACCCTTCACCTATAAAATTAACGTATCTCCAACACACTCTACCCCTCGTCAAATTAGCTGAATTCCTCTCCCTGCTGTGACTCCACCTATACTTTGAAGTGGGTAGCGAGACCAGTCCTGGGCTGCCAAGCCTTGTGGTATCACACAGTGTAAAGCAGATACATATCTATGCTTCTAGACCATAACCTTTGAAAACAAAAAAACAGTAATGAGTTCATGTGACCATTTTGGACAGACAAAAGAACACAATCAACTGTTCTTCTGATTTACTGGTAAAATGAGTGGGCTACACGAAAATCAGAAAGTTATTGACACCATTACGGGGGCTGTATTTTTAAAACAACTTTCTCAATTCAGATGGAATGAGTAGTTCTCCCACTGGATGGTCACTGTGCTCTGTGAGTAAGATACTATTCACTAGGGTCAGTCTACACTGGGCAGTTCCACACTGCAAAGTTCTGTACTATTTCCTATAATCATACAGCATAAAGATACCGTGACATAAATACCCTCTTCCTGAGCTACACTGTATTCTACGGGGAGGGTGGGTCACACACAGAATTTGTGAGTTTTAGGGCGGTGTTTCTCAAACTCTAACTTTGAAAAGATCAAAATTTCCTGGGGGGCCTGATAAACACATTGCTGGTCTCTACCCCCCGTTTCTGATGCTGTTGGTCTGGTTGAAAAAACTACTGTTTGAGAGCATAAGGCTTTTTAAGAATAATATTTTAGACTAAAATTATTTGGATAAGCTGATGCTAGCCAGTCATTGGTTTGTGGGTTAGTTACAGTCTTGGGCCTGTTTCCTCTGCTCTATCTCCATCTGCATTAACGCCTGCTTTTCTCTGTTGGGTCTGGGATTTCTTATTTTTAAAACTCGTTCATACTGGATTAGTCTCCCCTCTATTTCCTACCTTTTACAACATATCTCCTAGGTCTTCTTTATGATATGCCTCTACTTTGTATAGAAACATCAGCACACTTTACCTGGGTCTACGTCTGTTTCAGTATTCAGCTTCTGTGACACTTCTGAGACCCCTGTGTCACTAGTCACAGGTTGATCCAAATGGCTGGGCTCTTCAGGACTCTGCATCTTCAGATCTTCTGTGTTCTCTCGTGGGAAATATTCTTCCAGTGGTGGTTGTATCTCTACAGGGCAGAAGAAGGTATTGGGGCTGGCAAAGCTCGCTGACACTCCCCATTCAGCTGCTGTCACTGAGTTAGCACCCCAGTCACACAACTCCAGGGCACCTCACCAGTGCACTCCGTGTGCTGGCAGCCCAGGGAGCACAGCTGGCCAGGGAAATAAAGAGTTTCGATTGCTTTTTTATCTCACTTCACAGATGGCTAATCTACATTAAAAAAAAATTACAAAGGAACCCTTATTCCAAAATAGTTCATAAATAAATACATTTACGGTAGGGATCTCAATAACCTCACTTCCCTTGGCAAACCAACATATGCCCACACAGATATACGTGGAAGAGCATCCCAGTCAAGAGCAAAAATAGGAAACATGTCTTCTCCACAGAAATAACATGCTCTTTTAGAAACAAGCATGCTTGTTTCAGAGCTCACACAGAGAAGGGCCTCACATACAAGGGCAGCTTGCTGATGTGCCTTGCAAATATTTTCAAAGTACCTCTTAAGAGTCAAAAAGAGAGAACCCATTTCCATCCCTTAAGAGGCCTGGGGCATAGCCCAATGAGACCAACAACAAAGATGAATTTTTTTGAAACCTCATAAGTTACCCTGAAAATTTGAGTTTTACATTCTAATCCAAAATATATCTGCTTTGATGAAATGCAAAGATGGTCCGCTCTCCAAAATCTCAGGAAAAACTGGCACTCTTGGAAGATACATTTATGCTATGGCTTTATGTCCGCCTGGTCCTCTACCACATACCCTCAGTTCAAATACCTCAGCTTGAAAAGCATGGGGCCAGCGAAACGAGCATGGAGCTGGGAACCAGCTTATGTGAGGATATTGGTTCAGGGTCACTTCACTCACTGCTGAGTGAATGGCTCCTGTGGCAAGTGCTGTGTTACAGGGTTCTGCAGCCTGGTTCAAATGCTTGATTAACCTGAATGCAAGAACCCCAGGGCCCAGCAGGATTTAACAGACTTTGGTGACTGCTCCAAAGAGGCAGGAAAGAACATGACATCCACAGGAGATGAAAGCTGGGCGGGGATGGGGGCATGGGAGGATGCAGAATCTCAGGCAAGGCACTGATTTATTTAAGAGTCATGCCAGTCAGTCCTTGGTCCAACAGCAGTTATTTTATAATCAAGAAATTGTGTTCAAAAAAAGCCCTTTTATAATTTTACACAGAACTTAATGCTTGGTTAGTAGGGCCACTGTGTACATCATTTCTTTGTTTATATCTTTATCTTTTTGGAAGGTTTCCTTTTGAAAATGTTACCATTCTCAACTGTCTTAAGGAGAGAACAGGGTAAGAAATCCTTCTCCATGCCTAAAAGAAGGCAGGCATGGTCATGTGGACGTCACTGGGCTGCCTCTTGCCTTTAGACACGCTGTACACTGTGGACAGAGCTTTACAAATACTACAGGTATGAGGCACCTCAGCAAACCCCCACCCCACACCTACTTCTCCAGCCCAACGCGACAAGGCCATAGGCGGTACTTTACCTTCCGCGGGTCCGCTCCAGCCTTCCTCTGGAGGCCGTGCCGTGGCCAGTGGTACAGTGACCTCCCCTGTGGAGTGTCTGTACCTGACAAAATAGATCAGGTCTTGAACATCATCCAGCGCTGCAGACTCTTCAAATATGTTACTGTCCTTCATGCCCAGATCTCTGTTTTCGGCCACACGAGTATCGAGCATTTTCTCTGCTACACTCAGGATTTGTGACTCCGACGTGCGGAAGACCTTATCTAGGACTTTTTCCACATTATAGGGCAGGCTCTCCCGCTGTGCTGACTTCAGTTTTAGTGACATTTCTTGGAACATGGCTTCCAGCTCATAGACATCAAAGTACTTCTGGAACCGCAGCAAGGACTGCTGTTCTTTAAAGAAGCTGCTTAGTATCGGCAAGTGCTCCATGTGGTCCCCATGCTCTGGCTTTGCAGTTGTGCGTGAAGTCCCAGGGAACAGGCCATCTTCACGTCCCTCAGAAGCATCCCCCTGGCTTCCTGTGTCCATGAATCTCTCTAAGTCCTCCTGGTCCTCTTTTGAGACTTCTTCGACCCCAGGCTTCTCTGCGAGCCGTGAGGTCTTCAGGTGTTCCTCAGTGTTGTCTTTAAGATAATCAGAATCTTTATTCTGAAAGGCTTCCCCTACCTCTGGAGTCTGATTTTTTCTCTTGTCAGGAACAAACATTCCCTCAGATGGGCTCTGTGCTTTCTTATCTACAAGAGGGCTTTCTTCTTTTTCTACCACCAGACCACGAGGTTCCCTGCCTAGTATGTCGACCCCTTTGCCCACAGTTTTACTTTTGCTTTCAGTTTCCAAAATACCACTGGTTTCTTCTTTGTTTTCTTCAGTTTCTGCATCAGTACTAACGGTGCCTAAAATACCTCCTTTGGGGACTTGGGGGTTGACATCCAGCTGCCTGTCCTGCATCTCAGGGCTTTTTTCTTTAGACTGTTTTGCACTTACAGCATTCTCATCCTCCAGGAGTTCTTCAGGGATGTAACCGTCATCTTCCACTTCTGGTTTTTCAGGATGGAAACCTGGTACTTCCGCGCTATCATCTTCGCCTGTTGTTTCTGCTTTCTGAGTGCCCGGCTTTGGATGAACATATTCTTCATCTAAGGTGTCCCCACCTAAGGTGTCCCCGGTGACCTCACCCTCAGGCAGCCCTGTCTTCTCATTCACTTGCTCATTAACTGCAGCAGCCACATCTCTTCCTTGTTGCCAGGACAGATTTCTTCCTGGAATGGGACCCTCTTCTTCCAGTTCTCTTGACAAACCAATTTCATCAGGAGAAGAGAACCTGGGTTGATTTTGAGTTTGAACAAGCGGTTCCTCTTTAAAGTCCTCGCTTCGATGCTCCACTGAAAGCGTGTGCGGCTTTGGAACACTTACTAACACATCCACTTGCTCCTTTACCCTGTCTTTGGATGCATTTTGCTGATTGTCTCCCATGAGGGGTGCAGCACCCATGGGCTCCTGTTTCATCTCTTCCTTCACTTGATACCTTTCATCTTTATGTTCTGATCCCCTCTCTGAGCCACCTTCCAAAGTCTGCTCTCCAGGCGAGTCTTCATAGAGCATTCCTTTTGAGATATGAACAGCTGCTCCTTTTAGGTCATTTTCTTTGTTATCAAAGGCTGATTTGATTGTTTCTTTACCTTTTTCAGTAGCTGGCAAAGAATTGACGTTCCGGCTTTGAGGAGAACCGTGCAGAGTCCCACCTTCTTGCTTTTCATCCTCCAATCCTTTCTCATCCTGCACTGGGTCCCCCTTGGATTCCTCAATTGTCCTCCCTTTTCCTTTAATGTGAAGTTCTGTGTCCATTTCTGGGTCTTTGTCGTTATTTGTTTTAGGGGCTTCTACACTCAAAAGACCATCTGCTGCCTTCTCAGGATCAATATAATCTGTTGCTAACTGTGGTTTCCCCCATTCACTGTCGGGGACTAAAGCTTCACCGCCTTCCTTTTCTTCCTCTGAGTCAGAACCCTCTAAATCCATACCTGTTTGTTCTTCACCTTCTGTGACAGCAGAGAAAAGAGCATCCTCCCAGGTTGTTACTATATTTTTATCATCGTTTTTGATGCCAGGGTGCTGAGCTGCTTCAACCTTATCCTCTTCACTTGAATTCTGCTCTTTATCTGTTAAATATTCCTCAACTCCAGGTTTCAGTGGTGTTTTAAAATCTTCTCCATCTGTAAAGGTTAGTAAGGGTAGCTCATCAAAGTTTTCTTCGCTTTCTTCCTCGTCTTCCTTCCCAACTACATAATACTCAGCATCCAATTCCTCATCAAAATCATCTTCTAATGAAGTAACAAGTCTGGTTGTCTCATCATCGGATACAATTGCATCTGCGGTTGAGCCAAGTTTGGTTTTCAAGTCCAGAGTCATTTCTTTTTTCAAAAGTTTATAAGCATCAATCTTCTCCTGCTCG